CTACCTACCTACCTACCTACCTACCTACTTACCTACCTACCTACTTACCTACTTACCTACCTACCAACCCCCTTCCCCCTAAAAAATTCCCCTGTTTCCCCACGGATCAGGCCCGCAGTCGTTCCTGTACACGGGCGTCCACGAGCAGAACTACATCCCTATCGTGATGGCCTACGCCAGCTGTGTGGGGGACTTCGCCGAGGACAAACAGAACTGTGCCAGGTTCCACACCTACGTCACCGAGACCAACATCAACGTCAACGTGCCGGTGAGAACAAACACTCTGATTAGAATCAGATGGTATAACACAGGAACATACTATAGATCTAGTGAAGAAAACACAGGAAAACAAGAAGGGGGAAAAAGATTGAAAGAATGAATGAATGAATGAATGAATGAATGAATGAAAGAAAAGGGGGGAAATGAGCAAATAAAAGAAAGATAAGAGCAAATAAAAAAAGGAAAAAAGAAAAAGAGAAAGAGATAGAAAGAAAGAAAGAAAGAGAGAATAGAGCGAAAGAAAGGAAGAAAGAAAGAAAAACACTACAAAAAGAGAGAAAATAAGGGAAAAAGAACGACGGAAAGAAAAAAGGTGTAGCTCTATCCGTTTCTTTTGAACATATTTCATTTTACAATAAAATATTGATGTACCACAGCGGGGCGGCGTAATGGGTTTACGATCTTCCTTATTATCGAAGATCGAGGTTCTACTTCAAATGACATTTGGACTTATTCTCTCGTAACCGTCGTTCCTGAAAAGTGTCTTCTGAACCTTTACTGTCTTGATTTCCTGACTCTGGAGCACGCGTTTGGTAATCAAAATGACTGTCATTTATTTGTATTACTGGGCGTTTAACGTTTAACAACACGGACATCAATAAATAGAAGAAAAAAAACCCCCAACAAAAATAACAGCAGCAACAACAACAAAACTAACCACAGCAAAGAGAGCAAACACCAACAATAATGATAACAACAAAAATAACAACGATAACAAAGACACCATTAACAGAAAAATGCTTTGAAGCCATTGAAGCCTGTCTATAATAAATGCGAGTATAAAAACACAGGGAAATAGATCTATAGTGAAAAAAAAGGAAAAGTAAATAAAAAGAAAGGAAAAAAAAAGAGAGAGAGAGAGAGAGAGAGAGAGAGAGAGAGAGAGAGAGAGAGAAAGAGAGAGAGAAAGAAAGAAAGAGAGAAAAGAAAGAAAGAAAGGAAGAGAGAGAGAAAGAAAAATAAAACGACAGAAAGAAAAAAAGGTGTAGCCCAATCCGTTTCTTTTGAATATGTTTGATTTTACAATAAAATATTGTTGGACCACAGAATGAAAGTGTGTGTCTTAGGTAATGTAAATGAGAATCGAGGCCTTATGTTCAATTATTGTATGTTCTATCATTGTGTTGGGAAAAAAATAGAGCTAACTTGCCTACCATGGGATTCCACATCGTTAAGTTATCAGGGCAGCTTTGGGCATACTGCTAGGAATTCGCAACCTCAAAATTACAAAGTTCTATCTAACGTTTCTAGCTGCTTTGAGTTACTGAGACCCTAAGGTCAGAAAGCAAATGTTCTACAAACCATAAGGTCAGAAACCAAATGTTCTACAAACCATAAGGTCAGAAACCAAATGTTCTACAAACCATAAGGTCAGAAACCAAATGTTCTACCTGCTCTATCAAAATCGTAAGATTTTTCGGAGTCGTTATCAAGATATTCAACGAATTGCAGGACGTGATACTCAAAATCTTTTACGATAAATTTCTTAATACTAGGTAGTGAGCAGATAGAACTTTGTAATGTTGAGGTAGCGAATTGTTGGCACTATGCTTTAGTGGGTGCAGGGACGAGCCTTTGTAATCATTTAAATAAAAAAAGAAGCATTCTCGGAGTTTCGTTCAAAATTCGGCTGAGGTTCGGTGCGTCCTCGTGTACCGCTTCATGAGTTGTATCAGCGCAACTATGCATGCATCGGCCATCTTGAAACTGATTTCTTTGTATGTTTGAGTAAAGAGAGGTACATCGACAAAACAATGATTGTCTAAAGGAGGGGAAAAGTAAGACAGACAGACAACAATGACAATGGGAAAGTAAAGAAGTAGGAGCTACCAGCCAACCCCTACAAACAACCGACTTGAAACTCGATTGGATTTTCTTTTTGAGAAGCAGAAGTAGTAATACTAGCAGTAGTCCTGAAAAATATTTCAGAACTAAGTCGATTTTATGTTATCTGTTAACGTGGTTATTATATTACTCACTCGTCTGGTATTTATGATAGGTGCGCTATGGATATAACTATGATTCTGTTTGCAGGCAACGCAAAAGACATAGATATATCGTAGAGATCAGAAACGTAAATGAGTTTTTTTCATAACGTCAGTACTCAACATAGCATTTGAAAGAAATGACTGGATGGCTTTACACCAGAGATAGAATAGCCCTTGCAAATTACTCAATATATTTATTTTTTTCATTTTTCTTGAAACAGCCTTAAATGACTCGTACCTTACTTTTGCTTTTCCCACACCTTCTATTATTATTATTGTTATCATCATCATTATTATTATTTCAGCCTAATTTTACTTAACTTGTCTCATAATTTCCTTCTATTTCCAGCCTGCACCATCACAGGCACAGACTCAGGACCCGAATTTCGCCACACGTCTTGAGCAGCCGCTCCTACTTCTGTGTTTAGCGCTGCTCACGCCGATAGTAGCCAAGCTGATGTAAAGACAGAAACAACGACAGAGAACGAGAAAATGAAGTCCACAGAATATGGAAAACGACAGAAAGTATATATGGAGATTTTTTTAACAAACAGCTGAGAACGTAGCGTACTGCAGAGCGTGTGAGAAGACGCGGAATGGCTCAACTGTGACGACGGAACAACTATTTGTAATTATTAATTGGGGAAGTACAAGCGGTGCGGTGCGGAAAGGAACTGGCCACCGTACCACAATATGCCGAAGGCCCAGGAAGTTGTCTCACTAGCAAGACAACCCCCAATGTCCGGATCGGATGCGGGAACAACTTTACTTTTTACTTTGATCGTACTCCATCTCTACTCCAACAGAAAAAAGCCCCAAAACAAACGGGAACTCAGGTCCCAAAATCGTTCACGTTACTATAATAATTGGTTGCTTTTAAGGACAAGCGGGCTAACCCAGATTTCGGGTTTTTTCAGAAATCTTGACCTACACCAAAAGTGGGCATTGTCTTTCCTATAGGAGAAGTTTGGTTTCATTGGTGTGTATATTTCTTTGGTTATAGAGAAAACTCTCCTTGTATTTTAAAGAAGTTGAACAAGGGTTCAGAAACTTTACCTTCGAATTTCTCAAAACGGCATTTATCGGGATAGTCGCATTGTGCTTAAAAGCGACCAATTGACCTAGTCAAACGCATAAAAAAACGTCACATAACTTTGAAGTTACTTATTATGCCATTTATCTCCCGATAGTAAGAGATTTTCTCACTATGCTCGTGCTCGCATTCCTTTCCACCAACATGGCGGACTTCTACTTAAAAGTTTGATAATCACAGTGAAGCATAGTTTGCTGCCGTTGAACTCTTTATCTGTTTTACCATTTGTGTGCATTTACCTTATGGTCTCAATTATGCACAAGAGGGGAGTTAGGAAATCCTCCGTGATAGCTTTTAGCTCAAAGCAAGCTTGAAGAACTTTCATCATCGGTTTTAACAAAAAATAAGAATGTATTTCTTTTTGTCAGCACCAACATCTAAATACAATGTACTTTCCAGGAAAAAGGAAACACCCACGCTCAGAGGGAGAAAGAGGGGCGGGGGAGGGGGGATAGGGAATACGTGGTGGAGGGGGGAGGGGAGAGAGCGTTTAATACTTGGAATCAGAATCCAACATTTTAATTGATCTCCTCAAAGTTATTTTGTGTTCACTTCTGCATTACCCCCAATCTGGTGTTTGGTGGAACCTTTCATCCGGACATCAGTCTACTAGCTTGTTATTACGTGTATTTTGTCTCATTAATTGCAATGCTTATTTACCGGCGTCTGTGGTGTAGCAGTTAGACGTTTCGTTGTCGCGAACAGGAGACCGGAGTTCGATTCCCGATTGGGGAGAATTTCTGTCCAATAGCTCTGTCTTTCTGCAAGATGTTATATCACTCTCAGCATGGGCAGCATGGGTTGGTCCTGACAGGCAGGGTTGAATCCGTTCTCCTAAATGATCTAAACTGTGCCCGTGCGGTAGTAAAATCATCCATATTACGATACCTTAGAATTGCAAAGTTCTATCTGACATTTGTGTCAGTTTGGAGTTACTAAGACCATGACGTCAGAAAACAAAAGCTCAGTCTGCTCTATTAAAATGGTACGGTTATTGGGAGTCGTTATCAAGATATTCAAAGAATGGCATTTGAAAAAGGTCAACCATATTGTGAAAGTCATATTTTTTTAAAACGCCAAATGTCTCAAAACTAATACTTTGCAGATGGAACTTTGTAATTTCTAAGGTAGCGTTTAGTTTATTGCTTTGTGTTTTTTTTTCTTTTTGCCAGTTTGCTAAAAAATGTTTGGAAGGCTAATTGTACTATTCAGAATTTGTTTTTTACTTTTGGCATATTTACGAGGTTCTCACCAAGCATTACCTTATCCTTTTCATGTTTCAGGCGCCTGTTACGTATTGGGATCTGTTTTCTCTAATGTGCTGTTAGTTCAGTATTTTTGTATGGTTTCTTCCACGTTTATGACGTTACAATAAACTGACGGGACCAGTCTCGATTTTACATACATTTTCAAGGTTTTCATTGCAGTGGTTTTTTTAATGAAAATTTTTTGGAATTTCGTGGAAGGAAAAGAAAAGAACAATAAAATCAAAGGAGGAAATACCGAAAGAAGCCTACGAGGGTGACTCATTAATGAGAACAAAAGGTATACTTCAGAATCGATATATGCTATCACTTTCACTAAAAGTAGTTTAGAAATATTATGATCTTAATTTGACACAAATTAAGAAAAATGAATGTCCTGTTTTAAAAACTACTGAAATGTCAAGAGCGTGGCGCTATACTGACTTTGCACTACTTCCATTTCTTTCGACTGTAACTGTAACTCAAATCACTTTGAACGCACCCCTCCTCCCCCCCCAACCCCCCCCAACAAAAATCCCCCAAACAAAAACAACAACAACAAACAAACCCCAAAACAATAAAAACAATTTTTAAAAAGCGTTTGAACAAACAAACAGCAACAACAACAACAACAATAACAAAAAAAGGTTTCTATACAAGATGAACAAGAAATTCAACGAAACATTGCCATCAATTGTATAGCTTTGGTTTGAAAAAAAAAGAAATATATTTTTACAGCCTGGACAGACGTGGGGAAAAATTCCCAAAAGACAGACATTGGGGAGTACTTCTTCCGGTCTTCTGGGAAGTTGTATCCTTGTCTGCCCGGGCTGACCCTGACTGGCAGATTAAAATAAATAAAATTTGTTTAACATTTTACAGCGCATGTAACTGCAGAAGGTCATATGACGGCGCGGGACACGTTTAACATTTTCAGTTGGAAGGAAATTCTAAGTTTTGCCCGGGTGGCGGTTGAAGCCTACTCTTCGATTTTGGACCACCAACTGATCTTGCACACACGACCTTCAAGATTTTTCGCCCTTGTCCTAGAAGGCCAGGTGTAGATCTTTCTTACCATAAGATCAGGGGTGTAGCTGAAAGACAGCAGTAAGAAGGATCCAAGGAGTAACAGTAGCAAGGCAGCAGAAAGAGCCAGGAGCCCAGAGGAAGGAGCAAAGGAGGTGATGGGTGGGGGCAGAACCTGGAGACGAAAGCAGCCGACAGAACATTGTTAGAGAGCAAGAAGGGATGTGAAATGAGAAAATTTTAGAGAAAAAAATTGTCCGTCGCTATCCAGATTCGAACAAAGCGACATTTTGAATGAAAGGCAAACCCCTTAACCTCTAGATCACGAGAGTCCCCTCAAAATAAATGCAGTAAATTGTGTTGACAGGGGTGTAAAAGGACTACAACTCTGATCTATTACGGATTTGTATCAACTCTAACAATAACGAATACACCAAATAGAGATCAGATCTATGACTACAAATTATACTGCTCCAACCACAAAGGTAAAACGTAAAAAATTCGAAACTGTTGAAACGAAGACTAAAACACGGTTCCGTTTCTTTCCACTTCAGGTTTTAATAAGATTTTTAAAAAAAATTTTTGAGCCTACGAGTATTTTTATCATGTTCTCACTCCATTTTTCCTGGTTTAGTTGTGAATCACTTTGAAAGTACTGAATTCTAGTCACGGACACGGGTATTAATACAAAGAATTTGGGAGTCCACAAAAAAGACAGTAACGTTTGATTTTGGGCTCAGAGGAAATATTTTTAATAAACCCGTTACAGCTGGTTAAAAAACACTTAGAAGTCTAAAGTTGAAGTTTGTACAAGATTGCACGCGTGAAATGTTTTACTTGAAACTGAAATGAAGCATCAAGCAGGAATTGTTTTCTGATTCTGGCTTTGATGAAGGTTTTTTTTTCAAAACCTCAAAACACTTGTCAAAAGCAGTATTTATTTCAAAATTTTCGACTTGGAGATATATTTATGTCTTTTCTTCGAGCCCTCGACTTCCACCGTTGGTCCGTGGGGTATCAAAGTATGGCTTATCGCCTTGCTCACAAAAGGCCTAGTTTTAGTTCTTACTAAGAGGGAAGGTATTACATCGTGAATCTCCAGCTTTCAGCGAAGACACTCCCCATGCCGACGGCAAGCTGTTAGATCGTCCTAAGCAAAATTGGTTTGAGGAGAGAGATTAACCCGTTTCATTCTTTCAAAAACTATATCCAAACTATGTATTTTTTTCTTGTTTGTTATTTCAACATTAACAAATTTTGATTCTAATGAAATATGTTTTGAGCCCATGCACTCGATAGCACACGGTTAGAAACTGCAATAACTAAAATTGTGACCATTTTAGACGGAGTACATCTGAACAGTTGGCGGACGATACAATCTGGATTACACTTGGTAGTTAAAACTAAAGGACAAGATATCATACCGATCAAATTTGTGTCGAAAGGAGCGTTATACATTTGCAACAAAATTACAGTTTACAACACATTTACGACTTTTCTCGTATTTTTGAAATAAAGAGCCACCAGCCGAGATGTTGCCTGGCCAGCTGTATCAACATGATAACATTCTGTTTTCGCTCTTCCAACATTTCTCTGGCCCTTTTTAATTATATATGGGTGCATGTGTAAGTTAATGTGTGTGTGTGTGTGTGTGTGTGTGTGTGTGTGTGTGTGTGTGTGTGTGTGAGTATGTGTTTTTGTACGTGCGCCCCCCCCCCAGCACATGTGTGCGTAAGTGTGTGTATGGGTGTGTGTGCAAGTGTGTGTATGTGTGTGCGCGCGTGTGTGTATATATGTGTATGTGTGTATGTGTGTGTGTGTGTTTGTGTGTTTGATAAAACGGACACTTTAATGATGATTTGTCCTATATGGTAACACACATGACCAGAGCAACAAAAACTACATCCAGACTGGCAGCTGCCAAAGAAGAACTGATAGAGCTTATGGGAGCAGACGGTACGCAAGTGGCGTACAGTTGTGGAGTCTCCTCTCCAAGAGAAGTGAAACCCGTGGAGCATTCCTCGTTGAGATCTAGCGCTGAAGTGGAATTCTGCACACAGATCTCCACTTGATTCTGGCCTTGTGCTTTAGCACCATTCCGTAAGGGGTTGAGGAAAGGTACTGTGTCATTTTCTTTATCTGCATTAGGTAGTTTTGGTGCCTGTTCAATCGTGAGTCTGTGGGATGTTGCTCTGAAGCTCAGGTAACCGAGAAATGTCTGACTGATCTGATCTGAAGGAAATCGATCAATTACCTGGCTGTTCACACGCAGATCCATAACGAGTCCCGGTTGGGTTCTGAAGCCCAGAAGTTCAGTGCTCACAACGTGGAGAGACAGATAAAAGAAAGAACAGCGTGCGTACCCAAAGAGGTCATTCACCTCCATGTCCGTCAGCGTGAGAGATAAGGGTCGTAAGGATATTTTGAGGTACGTTGCGTATAAACATTGTCCATTCCAAAGTACCCTGCCTTCCTCACACACGGAATGCTCACAGTTTAAACCCTCGGAAAGGTTACATTGAATCTGGATAATTGTCTCGCCTGAATGAGAGAGTACGAAGTTCGTGAT